AAACATTTAAGGATGAAATAATATGAATTCTAAACAAACCCTTCCAGAAAATTGAACAGGAACAAATACTTCCTAACTCATTTTATGAGGCCAGAATTATCTTGATAGCAAAACTTAAAAGATAATACAAGGAAAAAAAATTATATCAATATCCATCATTAAGTAGATGCAAAATTTCATAAAATTTTGGCAAACAGAATCCAACAAAATATAAACAGGATAATAGGTCCTGAACAAGTACAGTTTATCTCATACAAGGTTAGTTTAACATTTGGAAAAAAAATAAGTAAATCAGTGAATGTAAGTCATATTAAAAGTCTTTTAAAAAGTTATCTTAATAATTATAGAAAAAAGCAACAAAATACAATATCTACTCTTCATTTAAAACAAAAATAAAACATACCTCACCTCTCAAAGTAATGTAGTAGGAACAGAATGGAACTTCCTAAACCTGATAAAGGGCTTTTACAAAAAAGTATACAACTAACATCATACATCATAGCTAATGAAAAAAATGAATGCTTCTCCCTAAGATCAGGAACAGGGAAGATGCCTGCTCTCCTCACTTCTATGTAACACTAAGTAGAGGTTTTTGCCAGGATACTATAGCAATAAATAATTAAATAAAAGGCATCCTCACTGAAAAGAAGTAAAATTGTCTGTTTACAAGTAACATGATTACCTACATAGAAAATCTAATGGCAACTACAAAGAACCTATTAGAACTAATAAATAGTTTAGCAAAACTTCAGGATACATAAGTATGCAAGTAGCTAAAGTCGGAAGTTGAAATGTAAAAAGATAGTATCATTTATCATAATATCAAAATATATGCAATTACCTACACATACTCTGACAAAGATGTGCAAGATACTCTACTGAAAGTTACAAAACACTGCTGAGAAACATTAGGGAAGACCTTATTAAATGAACAGACATACTACGGTCATGGGTCAGAAGTCAATATTTAAGATGCTAACTCTCCCCTAAATTAATGTAGAAATAGATTCAATGAAATTCCAACTAAAATCTATACAGGACTTTATTTTGAAATTGACAAAATTACTGTAAAATTAATATGGAAATGTAACAGACCCAGAAGAACCAAAACAACTTGCAAAGTTGAAGGACTTTACACTACCTACCTCCAGTACTTATTACATAGCTATATAGTCATCAAGACACCACATGTGGCATTGGCATTAAAATAGACAAAGAGATTAATGGAGCAAAATAAAACATCCAAAAACAGTCCCACACACAGTCACAGTAAATTGATTATGACCAATGGAGCAAAGGCAATTCAGTGGAGAAAGGATAGGCTTTTCGGTAAATGGTGTGGGCACAACTGATATCTTATGCAAAAAAAATGAACTTTGTTCGTTCATCTGGTGCTTCAGATTAATTTAAATTAACTTAAAATGGATTGTGGATTTAATACAAAACCCAAAACAGTAAAGCTTCTTTAAAAAAAAAAATAGAAAAAAATTGTAGAACTCAGGCTCAGCATGATTTCTTAGATAGGATACCAAAACCATGATCCAGAATAGAATAAATTGATAAAATGGACATCAAAATTACAAACTGATAAATTTGGCTCCATCAAAACTGAGAACAATGCTTTTCAAAAGTCACTGTGAAGGAAAATGAAGGCAAGCCATGAAATGGGAGAAAGTATTTGCAAATCACAGATGTGATAAAGAACTTGTAATGAGATATAAAAACTTCTCAAAACTCAAGGAAACAAACAACCCATTTTTTTAAAGAGGACAAAAGATTTAAAATTTACCCAAGAATATATATGAAATATACATGGGCAAATAAGCACAGATCAGAAAGGTGAAATTATCAGTTATAGGGAAATGCACGTTAAAACCACATGAGACAGGACTTCACATTTTTAGAATGGCTAAAATTAAAGTGTGACCACACCAAGTGCTGAAGAAACTGGAAGTTTCAGACCCCACTGAGAGGAATGTGAATGGCACAACCACTTTCAAATACAGTTTAGCTGTTTCTTAAAACATTAGACATACACCTACCATGTCCAGTCACTCCATTTCTAGGTATTTAACCAAGAGAAATGGAAGCCTATATCCATACAGAGAAATGTATGCATACAAATATCCATTGCAGTTTTATTTGTAGTAGCCAAAAAGCAGCAAATAATCCAAAAATCCAACAGGTAAATGGATAAACCAAGTATGGGAAGTCAAACAATGAAATACTATTTAACAAAAAAAGGCCTGAACTATGTATGCACATACAACATGGATGACTCTCAAAATGATTATCCTAAGTAAAAGCAGACACACAAAAAGGATACATATTGTATGACACCACAGGAGGGAGGGTTAACATAAGGGCCCAAGAAATCTCTGGAGCCATTAAAAATGTCCTTTACCTTTACGGTGATGATGGTTTTATGGATATATACATATGTCAAGATCTCTCAAAATAGACACTTTAAGTAAGCACAGTTTATTGTATGTCAAGTATACCTCAGTAAAACTGTGGAAAAATATCGCAGTTGAGAATGCCTTGTATTCTCAATGATACCTTGAGTGCTATATTCTCTTTATTCCTTACCTTAAATCAATAATTAATTCCTAACCATCCTGTTCTAGCCTCTCTCCAGTCCCATAATTACTAGGCTAACCCATCTTTCGTGTGTGTTATAATATCCTCTCTCCAGTCTTCACCACTGCAGTTCATTCTTCACCCTACAGCCGGAATTAATGTTCTACTCCACATCTGAGAATGTCAACTTCAATAGCTCCTGACTGCTCCGCAGACACATTTCAAACTCCCTTAACATGACTCATCTAACCCTCCTTGATCTGGCCCTTTCACCCTCCCCAGCCTCCTTTCTGGTGATTTCTCACCTTACCCTTTCCTGTCCAGCCATACTAATCAACAGTGTGCCAGGCTTATATAGTTTTGCCCATGCTGTTCCCAGGTCAGATAATCGCCTCCCCTTTTGTCTTTCCTCACTTATACTGAGGCTTTGTAACTCAGCTCCTGTAGTACCTCCTCCAGGAAGTTTTCCCTGAGACCATGGTGGGTCATTTGCCCTTCTCTCAACTGGAGAATCTTTTGCATACCTGGTCACAGCAGTAAGCTATGGTATTATCTCCCTCATCAGACTAGATATAAACTGACTGGGTGAAAGCTTGAAAGCAGAGACCAAGTCTAGTTCATCTTTATTTTCCCAGAGCCTACTACAGTGCCAGGCCTAGAATACATGCCACAAGATTCATGAGCAAATGAAGTGAAAAACTGGTTTGGATGGCCTCCTCTTACACCACCTGAGTGGATTCTATATTCCACCTTTTAAAATGATGTGCAGGTGAGAGGTTAAATGATCTCTGTAGTACATTCTGGCAAAATAATTATTCCAAACTTATTTCCAATCCCCTGGGATGCAGGGTTGTGGGAGGCAGCATTCTGGCTGGGAGTTGAAGGGCAAGATTCATTACCTCAAATTGTTTTCAAAACCAGTGGGTAATTGACTGTGATTTGAACTACGTGAAAGGTTAGGGAAAGGGAACCAGATTCCAGGAAAAGACAAGGCCCACAGCAAAAATTAATATGGCCTGGAAGAAGGCCCAGTCTCCTCTCAGTAAACTGCTTAATTCTATCCAGAAGACACAGATATCCACCCTCTGGGTTATTCCCTTCTCCCAATACACTTGTTTTGACCTCGAAATTCAGCCAGGGAGGCTCCCAAACTCCCTCCTCAAAATCGATCCCCAGGCCTTTGTCACCTCCTCCAGTCTGTTCCCCCGATCATCCCTAATAACAGCCCCCTGAGCCTCCTCTAGGAGGTCTTCCTCAGCAGGTCCCTCCAAAAGCCAGGCCAGTGGCCATTATCAGATCAAGGGCCAGGCAGAGGGCCTCATTAACAGCAGACTCCCAGAGGACCAGGAGGTAGTCAGAAAGCTGGAAGACCCAGCTGGCAACTTAAAAAAATTAGCATATGCACTTGGTGGATCATACATAAGTGGAGAAAAGCAAGCAAAACAAAACAAAACTCTACCATCCAAATAACAGCCACAAGCTAGAGAACTTGCCCTCTAATTAATTTGCAATTCAAAAGCACAATCACTTCTTCCCTCCTGATCTATTTTAAAACTAACCTAATAATGACAGCTCTTCCATATTGTGGCAATGCCAGATCCTTCAATTTAGGAATGATATTTGTTAAGACATGAGAAGTACTTCAGAGGAAAATAGCCAGTGATTAGGGAAATTCACCATTGTGCCTCTTGTCTATCCTTAAAAAAAAGAGAAATAAAGAAAAATGCAAAGATACCCCAAGGCCTTTCCTACCCAGGTGAACTAACCAAACAGCATTATAACGTTTAAGCTAAATCTCACCTCAAACATCATCACAAGCCACGGAAAACGTTTCAAGTTATAAGCAGCACTGGCCTTAAAATGCCTTAGGTAGCCAGATTTGGACTGAATGGCTCAAAAATGCCTGGGAAAATGTCCTACAATTTGGGGGAGGTGAAGGAAAAAGTGAAAGTGAACATAGTTAACTGGCCAGTGATGGCAGGGGACCCCGGGTTTCAGACATTGCACAGACAGCCTTGGGGATGAAGTTTACACCGAACCCTCCCTTGAGAGGCCAGACGCCTCAGCCAGGAGAGGGCATAGGGTATTCAACAAGTTCTCGGGAGCCAAGGCCGGGCGGGAGACACAACTTAGGCGGCCAGAGGACGAGGAGATAGCGACCGCGGCACAGGAGAGGGAGGCTTGGGCCGGTACGCTTTGGCCCTGCGCTCCTGCAAAAGCCCCTGGTGCACACGTGGGACTGAGAGGAGGGTCACTTACTTGTCCAATCTGAAATTACATTTGAGCTAGCAGGGTTCTGCTAGTTGCTGCGCTGAGAGCCCCACCGCGCAGAGGCTGGGCGGTCCCAGCGGGCGGCCTCGGCCCCGCCCCCGCCCCAAGCCAGGCCCGCCCCGGCCGGCCGCGGCCCCTGTAAAACGCACCCGGATTGGCGCTTTGAACCGGGCCCGGAATTGGCCCACGTATGCCCGCCCCCGCGGCTTTTGGCAGAGTTCAGCGACTGGTGGCGGAAACCGCAGTTTCGCTGCGCTTCTGGACCTCTGAAGGCACCGAGGGCACTTTGTCTGCTCCAGCGGCGAGCTCAGGCTCCTGGGTGCTCATCTCGAAGAACTCACCCACCCAAACGGTGCACGGCTCCTGATGGCTGTGCACGTCAAATGCGTTTCCTGTAACTCCTCAACCATTTACTGAACACCAGCACTTTCGTAGGCGGTTTAAAAAAAAAGTTTTTTATTGAATGCTTACTTTGTGCTGTTCTTCATACTGTATCCGGATTTACTCATCCAGTTCTGTAGCCAACCTTATGAAGCGGTGTCACAATCTTTAAATCTACAAAACCGATGGGTCCTTGCCTTTGATGAGGTTACAGTCTGTGAGTCCTGGACATACCTATCTCATTTAATTCTCACAACCCTTGCTTTTCCAATAAGCTAGATGCTATTTCTCCCTATTTTACAGATGTGGAGAGTTGAGACGTTTTTAGTGAGTTCTGAGACACACATCTGGTAATGGAGGAAGAATTCCACCCTGAGCTCCAATCTGACCTGTTTCCATTAAGAAACAGTTGATAGGACCAGAGATTTGGAATCCAGTTTAGAAAGTTACTAAATCCAAACCTTTATTATTCTAAAAAAGGAAACTGAGGCCCAGTAAAGGGAAGTAACTTTCCAAAGACACCAGATATGAGTGGTAAGCCCAGGTAATAAGTGATTTCATTGAAGTGAACTTTATGCCATGAGCCTTATAGTCACTGTCTGCTATCCTCCTAACAACTCCGAAGGTGAATAGTTGCTCTGATCTTTGTCTTATAGGTGAGGATACTGGCTCAGTAAGGCTGAGGCCACATGATTTAGCTGCATCTGTTTGGGATCCTGGCTTAGAGTCATTTTCTTTCTTCTGCACCATGGTTGTCTACCTTTCATTTCTGAAAAATATCCAAAGATCTAAATGGACTGTTTGGGAAGAGAGGAGGTAGTACTGGGACCTGGTTACTTAACACCTGTGTGAATCATAGTGTACAATAAGAATAACAATACTAAGATTCATTCATCTTACCTTTCCATAGTACTGTGAAGAGCAAATGAGGTAATGGATATGGAAATGCTTTATAAAGTGTTAGATGCTGCATACATGAAAGACACGTCTTCTAGATCTTCCTCAGTGTACCCCAGGAATGGAATGGCATTTTCATATGCCTATTATGAATGAATGAATCTATTTTTTCCTGTTTACTTCCATTCCATTCATTTATTCTAGGGGGTGGCAAACTTTTTCTGTAAAGGACCAAATCGTAAATATTTTAGACTCTGTGGGTTGTAAAGTTTCTGTTGCAACTATTCAACTCTGCCTTTGTTGTGAAGAAAACAGCCATAGATAACACTAAACAAGTAGATATGAATCTGTTTCAATAAAAGTTTATTTACGCAAGCATGCAATAAGCCAGTGTGGCCCATGGGTCTTAGCTTGATGACCCTTGATTTATTAGATTGTGATGTTCCATCACAAAAGTGCATTGGAAATGCATTACAAAAGGTGAGGGGATTGTGACATTGCAAGCATGCTCACACAGTTGAGCAATATAAAGGCCAGCGCATGACCATGTAGTCCAGAAGAAAGATCTCTAAACAGAGTCATGAGATCCAGGCAGTGAGTTTATATCTGCTGCTGAAATCAGATCTTTATCCTGGAACACCTCCAGTTGTCTCAGTTTCCCTATGTATTAGGAACAAAAATCAGTATAAATGTTACCTATACTGCCCATTTTCCATGACTTCAAGGAGACAGATTAGATCATACACGTAATCATATTTTTGAAAGCTGTAAATGTTATCCAACTGTTATATTGCTTCCCCTCAGGCAGGGCCATATATCCTCCCCTGTATCCTTCAGTTCCTTGTCTTTACTTGTATCTTGGAACTCAGAACATATCATATTACTAGTAATTATTAGTGTGTTTGTTTATCCCCATTCCTCTTCCCCAACTCTACATAATGAGCTATTGTGTTGCATTGGAATAGAGGACTTGATTATTGGAAAGTCTAGGCATCCATCTAGAGTCATTGCTGGGCAGCATGGAAATCATGCCATCATTGTCCACTAGACACATTGTAAGTCACACTAGGGAAGCAGCACATTGGATTTAAGCAAGACAGGAAGAGCTGGGTTGTGAAACCCTGGAACCAACTGAATTAGAAGTTTGTGTTATTTCCTTCCTGTTCAGAGCTGATTGCGTGCAGAACTGGGAGGCATACAGGAGACCATGTGCTCTCTCTGATGACCCGTGGAGGCCCTGTGATTCTCTAACTGCATTCTTTGAAGGTTTTTCCTGAATTAGTAACTCACCCCCTCACCAGAGAAAAGACATATTTTCCCTGAGATTCTTAGGGTCATGGTGCAGAGCTAGGTAGTTATTCATTACTCATGAATCATTGATTCATTCATACATTTATATAGTCACTCATTTAACAAAGATTTATTGAGGGCCTACTCTTCTAGATGACATGATGCTGAAAAGAACAGATATTGTCCCTATCCTCATGGAACTTAGAGTCACAAAGCAGACATTCAGTTAACAAACACGCAGATATATAACTGATTCAATTCCAAGTAGGAAGGGAAACAGGATATTATGAGAGGGGAGTATGATTTAGATTGAGGTCTAACTTAGACTGGTGATTCTGAGAAACCAGTTGCTTCACATATATTGTCTCAGGTTTTCAATAGCCCTGTGAAGTGACTACTATCACAACTATTGTACACATAGAGAAACTGAGGCTTAGGGAGATTAGGTGACTGACCTAAGGGAGCAGTTAGTAAATCTGGAGCAGGCTGTGCTCTCTCCAGTACTCTACAGTGCATAACATAACCCCAGAAGGTGAGAATCATCCAGCCTTCCACCTTTGTGCTTACTATGCCTCCTTCCACCTGGAAAGCCTCTCCCTCCATTTTTCTCTTACTGGAGTTGTATTCTGCTTTCAGCATCTAGTTGTGGGCCTTCTCTGCAAAGTCCTTCCTTCTCTCTGAGGCCTCAGTACGTCTCCTTTCTTCTAGATTCCTGCAACAATCATTATCTATTACCCAGGTGGCACTAAACCTGGACACCTGGTAAAGTCAATTCTCTCCTGCAGGTGCTTGCCCTCATGCCCTTGCTCATAGTTCTCTGAACAGCCCAAGGCCACTAGAGCCACTAGTTCTACTAGTTTGCTGGGTGACCTGGAGAAAGTTTTCTTACCCTCTTTGTACTTTAGTTTCCCTGGAGAATAATAATATTTATTTCTTGAGATATATTGTAAAACATTTATCCCAGTGCCAAACAGACAGTAAATGCTCCATACTTCTTAGTCTTCTACCCAGTTCCACTCCCTAGACCAGAAGCCCCTGGAGGGCAAGAACCGTACCTTCTACTTTACAATCTCAGCAACTAGCACAGTGCTCTGTAATAACAGGTATATAATGAGGTGGCGACAGTCCTACTGGGTATTTTGCTACTAATCAAACTTGTTTTCTCCTGCCCTTACTCCTTTCTTTCTCAACTTAGGCCCTTTTAAGCCTTGCTTAAACTTGATCCTCTGGCAGGAACAGGTGCCATTGCATAGAATCTCTCTCTTTTCCAAATCCACACTGTCATCTCAGGAGGAAAAGAACTGAAAGAGTTCCCTGGAGACCCAACAGATGACCACTGACTGGAAGGGCCTACTGAGCTCCCCACCCTAACCACCACCTACAGCCATATTTTATATAGAAAAGCATTAATTTTTTTAACCTTCATCTCTAACAGATGCCAGTTGCTCATTTCCAAAGACAGGAAAATGCTCCAACTTACTTATTGCTTACCTGCTACTAGATACTTGTCCTCTGTCTACATGTCTTCCTTCATCTCTCCATTCAGCAAACATCTACTGAATAATACTGAGTGCTTGTTAAGTGTAAGACCAGAAGTGGATGCTACACTAAAAGCATTGATGAAGTGCTATAGACACCACAAGGCTGGGAAAAAGAAGCGGGTACAGAGTGCAAAGGAGAAGGAAGGACCGTGCTAACATTTACTGGGGGCTGTGCTCTACGTCTCCACATGCAGGGTCTCAGTGATCCCTCCAGCTACCTGCATGAGGGAGTGGGGATTACTGCTGAAGAAACAGAGGCTCGCAGAGGTGGAGCAACTTGCTCTAGGTCATCTATCGTAAGACATCGCATGTCAAACTGCCAAATGGGAGTTTCTCCCGAAAAGCTAAAGTGGACAGAGATGCTCCTGTAGTATATAAAGGTTTCAGATGAATGCAAGTCCTAAGAAGCTGTGGTTTCAACCTGCAGCACCAGTTTTCTATTCCAGGTTTGAGCTGCTCACCCACCTCCCAGTTCCAAGACCTCACTCACCCTCTAAACCAGTTCTACACCATGTGTATCTTTCTACCCTAACACAACCCCAATCACAGCCCCACAGCCTCCTGGCCATGAGTCATTTTAATAAAAGTACAAGCTATGTGATGAGCCATGACAGCAGTGTGCAACCCTAAACCCCAACCAGTGTTTCTCCTCAGTGAAGCAACAGGTGGAAGAAGAGAGTCCAGGGCCATGAGATGATGACAGGGCTAAAGGAGAAGTGGGAGGCGGCCAGCTGGACGCGCACACTTGTGGCCTCAGGGGCTGAGCCAAAAAAGGGGGCCTTGGAGCCTGCGCATCATGTGGACTGGAACTGTGCCATGAGCTATGTTAGAATTGTGTTATTTGGAAACCATTAGAGAACATTGGTTTGGGTAGTTTTCAGGCTAGATTCTAAGGGAAGGTGCTTGCACAGTGAAGGAGAGGCTGAATGGATTTCCGGGCCTTCCAAATGTCCGCCTTACTGCCTACTTTTCTCCAAGACACCATATGAGGGGGCTGGCGGGGGCTGAAGTCCAGTCCTCACTCTGCTAGCCAAATTCTGTGCCTGGGAAGAGGCTCTGCCCCACCACAGAGGGCAACTTTTCCTAATATGCACAAAGTATAGAAGAGGATAGTAGTAGCATTGTCATCCTCCTGCCCCTAGCCAGACACACACACATACAGCCACCCAAGCATACTCACAGGCTCACTACATAAGCACAACCACCTACACAGAATTACACAAA